TTGTGAATGTGTTTTCCCTGTCTGAGCAAGAAATGTTATTCTGCATGCAAGTGATGAAATCAGCAAGAAAGGAGGCTGCAGACCAGAAATATTTGCTCCTTTACTGGGAGCATTTAAGATGGTCACAGGGAATTGTATCTCTTTATCTCTCTCAAATCACCCTGTTCTTGTACATAAGCAAATAACTTCTCTGACGCTCACTACTGGGGAAAAGGCATGCAAGGCTGCAATGAAAACCAGTGTATTTCTGGCCTGAGGGCATTTTCTTTCTTCACTCTGAGGGTTCAGCTCTCTGCAAGTGATTCTACCTTACCCTTAGCAGGAACCTGTTCAGTACATGAGAAACAAAGCATTTCTATAACTTCCAGACTCTTCTACTTACTCTCTCACCAGGGTCTGCCGCTGTTAATTAAGTCTATTCCATGTCCAAAACCAACATAGCAAGAAATTTCTGGCATGCTGTGGCAAGCTGTCTACTGTATGGGAATCAACCCTTGTGACAGCAATCTCCAGTTTAAACCAGTCTCACAAGAGAGGAGGTGAAGGGCATACCTGATCATTAATTGTTCACCTTGTCTCTAATCTCTCCTTTGCTTCCTGATGTGTGTGCAACCATGGAAAGAGCAAGCATGGGGAAAGGAGCTACACCTAGCCCTTACCTTTTAGGTGGGTTTCACCTGCTCCCCTCAGGCAATTATTTGCTGCAGCTGTACAATTGGGTTCTCCTGTTGTTCATTACTAAATAACCCACCCGCGTGTTGCTTGGAGTGATGGAAATGGCCACAGCTTTATCATAACATTTGTGGACGATACATGGAAAGCATTGTAGTCGCATCTTGTACTCTTGATGTTTCTGCATCCCATCTAGAATTTTCCAACATACAGTTTGTTCTGTTCAGGTATGGAGAGGGTTCAGTAAGGTGAGCCACCAAGGCCCTAGGCACTTAGGACATTTGAAATCGTGAATCTGAGCTGTAGGTAATAAGCTTAGTGCACAGGGAGACAGTAAGTGAAAAAGGGTGGCAGTTTCTTAGATGCTACAGAGGAGCAGAAAGTGCAGTTTCCTTCAGTGCAGAAGCTGGATTCCAGTATACAGATGCAGGGAACTTCTCCCTGGCTCATGTTTTAAGTGAAACAAAGTTTAGCCAGGTGGCCATGGTTTTCAAGGGACTGGATCAGAGAGGGTCTTGCAGGAAAATACCTAAGGGAGTAAAGCCAGTAGTTTACATTTATGTGTTGTTGATGGTGTAACTGCAGAGAAAAATGGATCTTGGAAACAGACAAATATAGACTCTGGTTCTGCTGGGAACAGGGATTATTTCCCATAATCTGAAATAATCATTATTTCCCATAATCTGAAACAGCACATACTTCCCAATGCTTGAAGCAGGAGACCAGACAAGCCTCCAGTGTGCAATTAGGGAGGCTGTGTGGCTACTGGTAACAACAGGATTTTCAATGAGCGCACTCATGCTGGTGCATATCGTGATCTAGTTTGATAGACTTGTCATGATGATGGGCTCCACTTTCTCATACTGGCAGCAAGTGATGAAAGTGGGTATTGATCACCAAAAGGAGCAGGCATCCTGCCACCAACTTTCGAGGTGTGTTTATCCTACTGTAAGTGTCTCTGCTTCAGCTCTGTGTCCTGCCTCTTCTGGTGCTGTGATTTCTATTGTATGCTGTTTACAACAGCAGAAAATGTTTAGAACTGCGTTTGCCAAGTGCTCCCAGTACTGGGCTGTGTCGTTGCAGCTGGTAGGGATGGCTTTTGTCAGGAGAGTTTCTCACTCTTGAAACACAACAGGAAAATAAAAGAAATGACCAGACAAGAATGCGGCAAGTGAGGAAAAAACAAAGGAAAAAGAGAAAGAAAAAAAAAAAAAAAAGAGAGAAAATTAGTCCCCTGTCTTTCTTAATACTTTCTTGCCTGTGAACCATTCCCGCTGAACTGTAAAAGAGGAAACCAATTTACAGATTTGATTTTACTGCTGAGAGATGTGAAATCACCGCAGTGAAGATGGTCATTTAAACTACCATCCTGGTGAAAGTTTCAGTTTCCATGAGGAGTGATTTCTTGAGATTATGCTAACTGCAGGTTGAAATCATTAGCAGAACCCAGATGCTCCTTTTCCCCCAGAGTTCTGGATATCCCTGAAGTGGCAACATTAAAATGAGGTGTCAGCAGCTATTTTTGTTTGTTTCCTTACTTGCTGCCCTAAAAATCTGTGAGCTTTAAATAAATGGGAAATAATATCTGCCAACTGTGCAGAGTGGAGAAAATAATGTCTTGCTGAAGAAATTCACATGATTCTTTGAAGACAACTCTTTGTAATTGTTTTCCTTGCTTTGAAGCAGCCTATAATTTTCTTCCACCTGTGCCACTATTGGGTGCATTTGTTTTGCATTGACACAACAGGCAAGAGCTAACCTTCTTCCACCCACTCCTCCATGGCAGTCTGGACACTTGCCTGGTGTGCAGGATGAAGCCAGCAGGAAACTTCTTTGCTGAAACGAACAGTGGTAGCTCCTCCAGTGTCATGCCGCCCATCTCCTCGAGGGCCACAAGATCCCTGTCAGGTTTTTTGTGGAATTGGGGATTTTTTCATTTTTTTCCACCATGTTCTTCTGGATACATATACCATAAGCCTTAGCCTGCCATCAGATTTGGGCACGTATTTTCCCGGTGAGGTAAATCAAATAGCATATAGTTTCTGTGCTGCTCTATGGAGTGCTTTCTGCACATGTCTGACCTGGCTTTAAACCAAAGAAATCAGGTGCTTCCACCAGTGCCAGGGGAGTCCAGGAGCTTTACCACAGCTTTAGTGCCCCAAGGATTTACATGGCTTTAGAGGTACGTGTTTCTCTGCAGACAGTATTAACTCTCTGAGCTGAATAATCTCTGTAACACTTCCCACACTGTGCTGGCAGGGTTCTAAACAAGAACAAAAATTATTTTGTAACAGAAAATTGAAGTATTCTCTGACTGCTGTGTCACAGAGAAGCATTTTGGTATAATTTGTTTTTTTGAAGGTCTTATATTTGCTTTGGGTTTGTGTTTTTTTTTTGTTGTTGTTGGTGGTGGTTTGTGGTTGTTTGGGTTTTTTTGACTGGAACAGTTTGACAGGTCTGATACTAAACGGTATGTTATTTTGATCAAATGTAACACATGATTCAGACAAAAATCCTGAACACCCTCTCTGATGAATGAAAAATCAGTGGTGTTAGGATGAGCATGAGAGAAGGACAAGCACATAAAAACTTAACAAACACCCTCAAAACAATCTGTGGTTCAGGGACTTCCTGAACCAGATGCAATTTCAGTTTGTGTAGTAACCCTCACAGCATTCCTTATCTCTGACTGTCCCCAGGCTCCCCATCACCTTCTTGCGCACACAGTATCATGAGACAGGGATTTCCACAGCAGACCATTGTCTTGGCTTCAAACCTGCCCCATCCAGTTTCACTTGATGCCCCTCTTTTTCTGACAGGGGGAGACAGAGTGAGCAATATATGCCCACTGCCTGTCTCCATGCCCCTACTCACAATTCTACATATCTCCATTTTGTCTTCCCATCACTTCTGTCTTCCAAGTGGATGGGGTCTTAACTGATATATTTGTTTTTTAGCAATAGGAGAGTGGCACTGGCCACCATTAATGCTAAGAAGCAATTGCTTCCTTTCCAAAATCAAGCTTCTTAGAAAAGGAAACAAATTTATAGTTTCCATGTTGCACATCCACATGTGAAGGCCTGAGTACAAATTTCATTTTTCATTGAACAGATTTCAGAGCATGAGTAACTCTCCCTTTTGACCTATGTTCTTTTCCTATCACTCTGTCTGTGAGTAAAAAATCAAGTACTTTCACTTTCCCATTTTCCTAGTATTTTTGGTGAAGGGAGGGATATAAGGTTTAAATCTTATTTTACTCATGAATATCCCAAATATTCAGAGCATCCTGAGTATGCCTCCCAAATGGTACTCCTCTACCATTTTGGAAAGGTAACCATCCATGATGATTATCTGTATTCTTACAAAAGCAGCACACATCAGATAGATACAAATCTTTTATTTTAAACATACCACATTCACAGCAGAACTGACATCAGTGCCTGTTCTCCACCTCTTTTCAACTTAGTTTCTGTAATCCCTTCACTCCTTGAAAAAAAAAAAATAACAACCACTTGGTGTCCACAGAATAGCTTCAAGGAACTGTGTATGTGTGTGTGTTTGACATCTCAGCCAACAGTTTTCACTACCCCCCTCAAAAGATGCAGAAAAACTACAAAATTGGGTCATCCTGTATATACTCGAGCATCCTCCTGGCTCCTGCCTTCCCCCTATGGCTTAAGCTCTGTGCATCCTTGCCAGAGGGAGGAGACCAGGGATACTCTTGAAGGTTACTTCTTGAAGGTGGTAAGTATTAACCACTAGCTGAAGCAGTGAGGGATTACTCCCTGCACTGTAGGGGGGAAAAAAAAATTAAAAAAAAGGATGTGGATTTAACTGAAGCTGTCTGGTATAAACCTGTTTGTTTAAAGCAAGAGCTTTGTTTTCTGGGTTCCATGACCTTTATTAAATTTGTAACTTAACAGGCGTACTTGGAAAAAAAAATACCTGTAAGTAGATGAACAGAGTAATGATGAACATTTACTGGCTTCAGCATAGGTAAGTGCCTTAACAAATGCTCAGGTGTAAGTGTGTGCTCTACATCCCAGTGTTTTCAGTAAAGTTCTGAATCAGGAGCCTGCTTAAGTGGGGTCTGGTTTCATGTACTGAATGTCTGAAATCCTTGTCACGCCAATTTTGGTGGGATTTTTGTCCGCCAGTCCAGTCGTCTCACATTGTTTCAGAACACGCTCATATAAACAAGGAACACATATGGTCACAACCTTCAGTGGCTGAGAGAAACCTAAATTGGATGTGATCTAGTGACATGAAGGTGAAACATTCTAATAGCTAATTACCAATTCTCTGATTCATGCAATCTTCAGAGCAAAAAAAGAATACTTTTGCTGTCATACTCCTCAGCCATAGCTGTGGTACAAAATCAGAGGGTAGAGGCGTGCAGTCAGGCTGACTGGAAGCCAGTGAAATGGAAATATGAGCAATATTCCAATTTAACTCCATAGAAGCCCACTAGTTAGTAAGTAGTTCATGTATTTTAGTGCCTGCTGTGTTGCTGCCTACAGGGAAAATACTCTAAGTGCTTCCCCTTTCTCACAAAGAAAAGAAGTTTCCATCTATGTTTTATAAGGCTGTCTTGTCACATCCATTATACAGCGTGACACAACCAGCCAGAGGAAGTATTGTGGTGATTTCCATCGTGTGTTTCAGCAAGACCTTTTTTGTGAGGGGAAGAATACATATATGTATACAAAAGTATATTTATGTATAGACACACATACAAATGTAGGTCAGTTAACTGTGAAGATGTAGGTGGCCTGTAGAGTGTCAGTGGGCTGTTAATGCCTACATATGTGAAATCCAAATATTCTGTCATCTGGCCAGCTTGGCACAAACAGGGCAGAATTATTACTGTTCTGAGAATATTAGGCCATTACCTGTAACCGCTTTTAGAACTACTTTATTCCAGTCCATGGCTGACCAGCTATTTGAGGAAATAGCAAAGAACAAATTCTAGTTTTCAGTCACTGAAGTATGCTGTTAATATCGCAGAATGAAGAAAATTCCAAGAGAGAACCCTGAACAGTGTTGGGGTTTTTTTAACCCCTGAGTCATCCAATATCCTGTTCCATTCAAAAATGCAAAGGGGAGATGGTGATTGGAGGAGTGATATGAGGGATGATCCACAGACTATCAATTTTATATAAGGAAAGATTTTTAAAGGTGCATGCATAAATTTTATATGCTTATGTGTACACAAATGCAAACTATCTTCTGCGTGCACAGAGCAATGCAACGTCAAGTTTTCAGCTGAAGACAGGCACTGCTTGTGACATTTTAGTTATCCAAAAAGCCAGTCTTCCTGTTCTGAAACAACTTCAGCAAAATATTTTTGTTCAGCAGTAATATTCTTACATACTTCAGACAGTGGGGAGTATGTGTGTGTAGATGCAGAAATACACAAATAATCATCATGTAAGACTGTGCAGTGTATTACAGAACTGCTTGACATAAGCATCATTTGACTACTTTGCCTCTTCTGGGTTCATTACTCCAGCCCTCTCATCACCATTCTGACGTCTCTCTCTCCAGCAGGAGTGGTCCAGACACTTACCTAGCTCTGTGTTTTGCTTTGTTTTGAGGTAGCCTGGCTAACTAAAAAAAAAAAAAAAAAAAAAAAAAATTTCCCTTTTAAATATAATGCTTTCACTCAAAGTGCCCTGGTTTGAGGTCCAATATAAGCATGATTAATTTCTGCATAGGCAACATCTTCCTATATGCCCCTTGAGGACAAGGCATGAAGGTTTGAAATCCCTGGGAAGCAGAGAATTCCCAAAGCATCAGTAGGGCACCTGGGAATGAGACAGAAAAATTGCTTTGGGGGTTAAGGAATCCCCAGATTTCTTCAAGCCCAACACTACAGCTACTGAAATATTTAAATAACAAAAACATGCTTTCACAGATAGGGAATAAAAACTGTTGATCTAGTAAAAACTGAGAGTGATATGCTTATTTGACTGCCTCCATTTACTACTCAGTATTTCTGTCTTGGCTGCAAAATCTAAAACAAGCAAAGATCTCCAGGAGAAGGAACCTGATCTGGGGTGGGGATGTGTGAGGAGAAACACTACCTGCAATGTGCAGAAGACTGATGAAAAGCAAACAGTTATTCCTTCCTAAGAGGAAGGTGTTGCAGAGGAGAAAAGCAGGTTGTTCTGCTCTTGAAACACCTGAGAGAGTCTGCTGCTTGCTGAAGGGAGCAGCCTGGGCACGGATGAGTGGCCGTGTTCATGAACATGACCGTGAAAACCCTCAGCTGTGGAAATGACCGTGCTGTCCTTGGCTCCTCTTGGTCAGCCCAGCTTCTGGGAGCCGGTACAGGCCAGCTGCTGGTGTGTGCTGGTGGCTTGAATTCTAAACAAAGCCTGCTGGGGGTTACCCATCCCATTTGCTTTTCAGGTAAATCCCGTGCAATCTGGCTGAAAAACCTTCTCCCCACTGAGCCCAGAGAAAGCCTTACCACCAACCTCGCCGGGGAAAAACACGGTCTACAAGCCAGCTCCCTTCCTTCGTGATGCCGCCCACTGCTTTCGTGTCGCCTCGCTGTCACACAATTGCACCACGCCATCCGCGTTTTTGGCCCGGTGTCTCAAATGCAAAAGCGCATCTTTGTCCCTTTAACTTCTCTCTCAGCTGTTATGCCTGTTTTCTCCCCTCCTCTGGGACTGTGCACTCTGTTGCTGCTCTGGCTGCCGGGAACGAGCGAGGAGAATTTCTCCTGCTGGCGAGCGACCGGCTAGTCTGGGGCTGGCGTCTTCCCAGGACACTGCTCTTTGCATACCAGCAGGCAGAGAAGCAGGTGAAATGGGACTGGTGACATCTGTACAGATGCGTTTGACTGCTTACGTGCTTTTACGGATCCGTTACCCTTAAAGCGTCCGTTTCTCTGACGAGGTATTTCTCTCTCTCTCTCTCTCTCTCTCTATCTCAAATTATTTTTCCAAGGAGAAAAGGAAAAGGCAGACAGAAATAGAAGGCAAGAGACAACAGCTTGAGGACCAGATACTTCAGCTGCAGCATTTCAAGGTAAGGGATTGATGCCAGAAATGATGGATTGACTAAATCTGTTCATTATTAGACATGCAGATCACACGTCTGAGAGCTGGGAAGAGCCCACTCCGACATGAAGCAGCTTTCACTGCCGGAGCCTATCTCTTGCAGTGATCGTGTCCTGCCTGCTTTTCATTCTGTGTGTTTCGTGCACAGGACCATGTTGCAGAAACGGCTTAGGAGCATGGAGTCGGGAGGGTGTAAGCACAGGCAGCACGGTGGTGCTGTTATTATTTAACACTGTTATTTATTATACATAATGATAAGACACCAATTGCTGTGGATTGGGTGTGCGCTGCATAGCTTCAGTGAGCACTTTCTGCCTGCAGAGCTGCGTTGGATTTTTCTGGTGCCTGTCATTAGATTTTGTGCGTGTATGTGTGTGTGTTGCAGAGAGGGTGTTAGTTAGCATGCATGCGTGTAAAGCTTTAATTGTAGGATGAAGTTATTAGGCATACATGGCATAATAAAATGGGCATGTATCCACATGCAGGGCTGGTGTTGATGCATATGCGTGTCTCTACATGGAGAGGCGCCTTGATATTTAACAGGGTGACGAGCAGCCCTAGTCCCTGTTGGACTCCATGACAGCTGCAGACAGCACCATTTGAGAGCCGTCCTAGTTATTTCTATCATTTATCCTTCCTGTCAGTAGCAGAATGTGTCTTTACATTTGTGCATAGCAAAGAGAAGAACAAAAATGTGTAAGTGATCTTTTTGTAACCAGTGCACATTTGTGATCAAATCTCATTAGATTAGTTTAGTGGGGCAGCTTGAGGGATTTCAGTTATTAAAAGATCTGAGAAAGATGATCAGGACTGGACAGTTTATCCTTGCAGCAAGTGAGCTGGGCTATATTTTTAAAAATAAGATATTTAGGTTGCTCGTGCAATAGTATGTGTGTGTGTGTGTGTGTGAACAGTGCACCTGCGTGGGGCGATGATGCGCAGAATATCGTCTCTGCCTACGCATGCACCTGAAGACTAGACTTCAAGTTATGCTACAGACAGGATCCTTCCCCTGTCTCTCCAAGCCCCAGCCATCATGTTCTGTAAACTATTCCTCATTTTCTGGTAGACATGATGCAGTTAAGCCCAAGTAATTGATTGCAGCCTACATAAAATGTCCATCGGGTTCACTGTAAATCTATGGATGTCACACATTGTCTTTGATGTTACCAGTCAATGATGTGATTGCATTTCTGTGGGGCAACAGGAGTTGCCATTTCGTTCAGGCTGCCACTGACTACAGGCAAGGGAGAATTTCTTCTAACAACTGTAGGGTGATGCGGCAGGGCAGTAAGATCCCTTTCCATTGCCTTCATGATGGTTGCTTATTTTCTTCTTGCTGCAAAGCTGAGGACTCCCTTTATCACATTAACTGTTTCAAAGCTAACTGAACTATGCTTTTTCATTAAATTCTTAAAGCGGAGTCTTTGGGGAAGCCAATTCTGGCAGCTCTCTATTTCATCTGATTTATTTTGATATAGCTGTTGCTAAACTAAATTTTATCATCATCCATAGGGAAAAGTAAACCCTCTCAAGGTGGTGCAGTGGGGTCAGCCCCTCAGCTGGTGTAAACTGGCACTGATTTCAGCCCTGCTATGCTGATTGCCACTAGCAGAGGTTCAGTCTTGCTGCACAGATTTCCTGAGTGACACACATGAAAATTAACTATTTCCCTTTATTATTTAGCTCACAGCCTGGAGCAAGAGCAGCAATCATACAGAAAGCTAAGGGGACAGCACAGAAATTTAAAATGGCAGCTTTCTCAGCTAAACACACAGCCATATTTAAGGTCTGTAATTCTGGGTGCAAGGATAAGCGTCAAGATATGATAGGATATTCTCTACATCTCCATTCAGTGGCATCACTTGTCATTAGAGAAGTATGTTGCTTTTAGTGGAGTGGTCATGGTGACTGCTGCTCCAGGAGCTGTCTGTAGCACCTCACAGTACTACCAAATAACTGTCTGCTGGGAGACCTGGATGAGGTGGTAGCAGGCGTCTGTCTGGGATTGCAGAGTTCATCCTCACTGCTGCTAGGCACTTCCTAAACAGAGACTGGACCCAGGGGCAAAAAAAAAAAAAACAAAAAAACAACAACAAAAAAAAAAACAAAACAAAAAAAAAAAACAACAAACAAAAAAAAACACAAAACAGGAAAAACAATTAGAGGTACCGGCTGATGATTTTTCCCTTTCTCTGTGGAGACAAACCAAGTAAACTGCATTTTCTTTTCATGCTTTCTTAAGTGTTCTGCTTGCTTAGTGGGAAGCTGACCAAAATGGTATTTGGCCTGCGAGGCTGCTTTGATCATCTGAAAAGCTGCGTGTCCTCCCCCCACCTCCCCATGGCTCTCCCTCACCTCACCTGGTTTGCTCTGAGACTCTTAAAGCCAGGGGCTCCAAGTCTTCTATGAATATAGTCCTCTAGTCTGATATGGCTCCCCAGTCTAGCTCACACAGCCTAAAAGAAGTGCATCCATTTTCCTCTGGAAGTGCTAGGTAGAAAGTGGTTAATTTCCTGAATTATGTGGATTTCAACTAATTCAGTGCAAGATGTAAAGCCAGGTCAAAGAAAACAGGCTTGCCTAGGGAGACCATGCATTTCCTGGAAATGCTGTGAGGTTGTTGATGTATGGCGTAAGGACTTCATATCAGTGTTCATTAAAGTTTACTGTGGAGAAGCCTTTGAAAATATTATCTGGGTTAATCCTGCATCTGCAGTATCTGGGTTGATCCCACAAGCTTAGCAGCTTGAGTTCACCCAATGACATTCATGCCAGGATTCAGTGGGTTCACTTCATTTTTGTGCGATGCCAGAATAATTTTCTTTTTAGAATCCACTGTGTAAAATAGCATGTTTGGTTACCTAATAAAGGTTGTGGAAGCTACAGGGGTTCTGTTAATTTCAGACAATTTTATTCACAGAGGAAAAATATTTAATAGAAATAGTTTATTGCAAATGTTTATGCTGGATCACCTACAGTCTTCAAGTTGCTGATGCCAATTAGACCTCTGGCAAAATGTCTTCACTCTATTACCAGTTCATTCATTTTTCCCTTGTTACATACCTGTCTGAAAATAAGGGAACAGTGGCTGCTGCCCCGTTGTTCTGGGCAGAAGAACCCAGCAAATGCTGGAGTTAGTAAATGTCAGCGCTGAACGTGGGCAAGGCTTTGGCAACACATTTTGCAAAGGCTCCTGAGAATGAGGCCAATGGCTTTATGGCTGAGGACACCAGGACAAAAACGTGGCTCAGCTATTGATCTCTGTGAGTTTCTGAGTTAATCAGTGAAACCCTGTGAAAGTTTGGAGTAGGAGAGAGTCTAGAGTAGTGTAGGCTCTAAAAACTGAATTCCCTCATTGCTGACAGTGAAAGCCATTGTCACCTTTCCTGTGAATCACTGGGAAGTGGGGACGTTGGTGAGCGTGGAGCATCCACGTGGTACTTCAGGGCCGTCGGGGCACTCTGTTGAAGGCAGGAGGTGTATTTGTCTATGGTACAATCAGATGCTTCACTGGAGAGGCCCTTGGTGTTGGAAAAGGTATAAAGGTGCTTTGAAGCCCCATATTTTGAGACTGAACATGCTGGGTTTCTCTGATAAGAGGCAATTTACAGTAGCTCCACTTGCAGCCCACCTACTTTAATCCTTAATACCAAAACAATCCTCTGTCATTCATATAACACAAGATGTGTTTTGTTGTGTTTTTTAATAGTAGATAGAGTTTAAACTTCATGCTTCAGCAGTTCATTGACTGTATGCCTACAACTGGGGCTTGCCACATCTGTGGGAACTGGAGGTGTTACCATCTTCTATAGTTTGAAATCAGAGAAGTGGCTAAAATTTACCTTATGCAAGCATACTGTCTGCAGTATCCATCAGCATGATGTGTTTTCTTGAGGAAGACAATAATTTATTTTGATTGATTAGTTGCACTGGAGATATAACCTACAAGCAACAGCTGCTTTTAAGAACTTGTTCATCTAGGCAGCAGTTGGGCAGGCCCATTTTAATGGAGATGTTTACTATTTCAAATAAACTCTAGGGTAGAAGTGTTTCTTCCAAGATCCGTCTGCTTCTGTAGTTGAACAGAATGTCTGTAATTGTTTGTTGTTGCTCTGTTTGGTGGTGGCTGGTAATAAAACAAACAGCACACAACCTCTAAATTGAATGAAAAATCACTTCTCTGCTGTTATTTTAACCGTTACAATAAATCCATTTACCACAGTTATTTTATTTCTGGAGTGGTATAAATATTAGGGACCTATTTCTGTTAACATCTGCTTCTTAAAGACTGCAGTTCATGAACACTTAATCTATAACATAATTACATCTTTACTCTGAAGGAAAGGAAAGCCTTCTTATGTTACAGAGATTATGTTGTGGTATGGTTTTTGTTAAAACTATTTTACCTATAAATAAATTCTAATTTTATTTTTCCACAGTTATATTGCTATCTACAATTCATTCTAGTCATGAAATAACTGCTGTCAGAGAATATAAATAGATCCATTGATCTATATATCTATGCAACAGTGTGGAAAAACAAAGATGACTTTTGCGAATGAAGGAATGTTTTTATTCTTTTATGTTGAATCCCTTTATGATTTTCAAGTAAATTAATCCATAAACCAAATGGCAACTCAGTCAAGCACACAAAAAATATTTTATGATATCATGGGCACTCTCCATTGTCTATAGGGTCAGGGCAGTAGCCCCCAAAACGTGTTCTTATTAATAGTTGAGCCATCATTCTGGTCTACGTTGTCTGCTGCAGTAGTCCCAGGCTCACCACACCTCTGCAAGACTGGAAGGTCATCTCCATTTCCCAACTGCAGTTCTGGGGCATGCAGAGGTTAAGAGCTAATTTGGAGATAAATTTCCATTTCCACAGCATAGCAGCCACCTGTTCATCCCTTTCTGTGCATTAGCATCTTTGGGCTGATGCCTACCTTTCCCTGGAAAGCTTAC